ATTGTCATTTAAGGCACATTCATTCTTTGCTCTGTAGTTATGCGTGTATTTGAATTGTGTGGGCGATTTGTTGCTTATTTTTCTTTTGTGCTTTTTTTTTATTATTTCTGTCATGTTCTCAGTGCAACTGTGGCTGATTTATACTGATTCTGTAGAATATCTTGTGGAGAGTGCTTGATGTGGGATGTGTTTGTGTATGAGTTTAATGAATATTCTTCCTAAGTTTTTGTGTGGTGGGTTGAACCGGATGGTATTTCTTTTCCTGTTGGTGTCTTTTGTACTGTGTGGTGTATATGTGTTGCTGAAAATCCACTATCTTTTAGAGCTGTTTCATAATTTCTTTTGACTTTGTTGGAGGTAGTTTCATTGGAAAAATTGTCGGATAATCTGCAGTTAATAGATTGTGGGGTCTGCTTCATTATTGCTGTAGGGTGTTTGGAAGATGTGTGTATGTAAAGTGGTTTGTCATTGGGTTTCTATATGGTTGATATGTACTTTTTCTTAGGTTGAGTGTGACATTTAGGAAATCTACTTTTAGTTTTGCTTTTATCCCATATACTTGAAAATTTTTATGATTATTTTTCCAGTTTCATGTAAGGCCTATATCATTTTTATTGATTGTTTTTCTTCATGTAGCAAATTTATACCTATATGCTACTCACCATCAGAACTTCCCATTATAACATTGAAGGTCCCTTCTTTGTTTAACTGTATGTCTTTATTGTTGAATAATAGTGATTTTTGACAGTGTTTAATGATTTTTACTTCATTTGTGCTTATTATTTGTTCTTGTGCTAAGATGATGACTTTATCTAGCATGTGTTTGGTCAAAGAGGGGTAAAATCTTTAAAATCTAATTGTATAAACTTGCAATTATGTCCGTTGTTTAGGTTGCAAAATTGGTCAATAGTTGTTTTTTTTCACAACTTGTACTTAGTTCTGAGTTAATTCTTTGTAGTATTACTTTATTTACAAATAACTGCATTCAAATCCACAATTATTTTTGCACAATAGCCTTTAGACTAATTTAAAACATAACTATTAACACCTAACCAATAACTGTTAGGATGATACAATAGATCTTATTACCCAGAATGCAACACATATAGCCTGAAGATTTTGTTAAAGCATGAAACACTGTCACCGTATGATATTGACCTCAGTGTCCACTTATATACCTACCTGACCAATGACGCTACACAAAAGAGGCTCAGTTCAAGTTGCTACTCTGAATTTCTACAATGCAATTGTCAGGTGACAAATCTTGTTGACTTGCATTGCAAAAAATTCATAGTAGCAATTTGAACTGAGTCTCTTTTGAGAAGTCCTGTTGGTTAGGATTACTGCTCTGTCTTAGTCAATTTGATTTCAATGTTGAGCACTGTACATTATTGCATAGGTAGGTGCCTGCCTTTTACTCTGTCTTTTCTATTGATGTTTCTTTTTTGTTGCATTCTTTGTTTATTGGTTCTCAATTTTTTTTTTATTTTATTCTGTCACTTTAAGTCCATTAAATGTTGCATTTGCTTCTTGTTTTATCAATACTTTTGTTTCTTAAAAGACATTATGAATAAAGCCAAAAGGAAAAACCATTCCTTAGTGGTGTGAAATAATATTCTTATTTTATCTTGATGAAGTCCAGAGAGAGAACAAAACAAATTTGTAAAGAATAATTCTTTCCATTTGACTTATATATTGTTTATATTTTTTGATTTATTTATGAATAAAACATTATGTTGCACTTTGCAAGAAATATTTCCCAAACAGGTTTTTATCAATATTTTTATAAGAATAGATGTTATGAACTGAAAGTCACACTGCACAGCAGTGTATATTTAAATAAAAGTCTATCCTGAAAATTGGTTGGTTGATACCAATTTTACTGTGTACTTGCATTATGCCAGATTTTATTATGCAGACATTGGTGAAGTGTGAGAAGTTTATCTGATGGATGGAAGTTCAATCCCTGGCACAGCCAGTGAAATCTATATTCAGTGAAATGGACAGACACACTATCACAAAGACATTGGATTGAAACACCTTACCTATTAGATTAAATATAGAGTTAGGTTTGGAATCAAAGGCCAGAGCATTGTGATCATAAAGATGGGAGACATTAGTTTGAATAAATTTGCTGCTGTTGATGATGATGATAATCAATCCCAGAAACAGTCATGACAACAGCAAAAAAAATGGAGACAAATTCAGATAAATCAGAAAAAGAAATTGGTTGAAAATTTGATTTTATTTTTTAGGCCAAAATGTCAGTAAGTATTGGCAAAACAAATTGGGATTTTTTTTTAACCATTTGCTTAATCTGCAAGTGATTGTAAAAAAAAAAACAGTCAATCCAAAATAACTTTATTTCCAGTAAGGAAAAAAAAAAACACAACTCTTAAAAATTAAGAAACTTTAATGAAATATTCAATAAAATATCTTTGTAAATTTGTCCAAATGGAAGGATTCTCTCCACGTAGCTTCATGAATGTTGGTTGAATATTTTTTCTCTGCTCTTTATTAAACAATTTTTTTTTTTGTTTTATATATATATAATATATATTTATATATATATATATATATATATATATATATATATTTATATATATTTATATAACAGACAACAAATATCTATTATGTTTTATCATGAGCCTTTCCAAGTTTCATATAATTTTATATAGACATTCATTGTCTGTTATATTTAACAATATATATTTGAATAATGATTGGCTGCCCATATATATATATATATATATATATATATATATATATATATATATATATATATATATATATAGGGGGATACATGTAAAAATGCTAGGGATAGATGCAAGTGCTGTGTTTTGTGACACTAAGAATGCTTTATAACAGAATACTTAATAAACAAAAGAGTTAATTAGCAGATGTAGACATAACATAAAACACCTGACTAGCGTATTGGTATATTTTGTTTCTATCACCCACTGAACCCCACCCTACATTACGACTGTTAGTAGTTTGCCCACCCACAGGGATTTTCTCATTGCCTATTTTCTCTTTCTCCTGTGAATGTTTGGCTATCCACAGGTTTTATAAATAATTTCTTTTTTCCTTTAAGGTGATTTATGGTCACTGGTTATATAAAGCTTGTCCCTCACTTCTTTCATTTGTGTTCAAGTTGTTTGAAGAGTGTGTGGAACTCAGGTTGTGACTAGGGCCATCCTTTCATAGGATTTAGCATTGTTAAGCATTTTTTGCTCTATGTAGGTTTCAAGTACTTTACTGAGTTGGTCGTTTGCTGTTAGCACGTTTTATCTTTTTTTTTCAGTAGCATCATTTTTAATTGAGGCTTTATCTAAGAGCTTTAGTTTCTGGCAAGTTGTCCATTGGCTCTATCAACAATTTTGGAGAGAGAGAGAGAGAGAGAGATTGATTGATTGATTGATTGATTGATTGATTTTGAGATCTTAACTTTTTCCTTTCCTTTGTGTTTTAAAAAAATAAATTGACTGAATATCAGTTTAGTTTCCCTTGCTTTTAATTTCTAGGAGGCAACATAGGTACATTTTAAAATAGATAAGCTTCATTAAAGAATAGTCATTACATTTGAATTGCACATGCTCTTTGTCTAACTTTACATTTCTAACATCTCTGCATAAACCCTGAAATTTTATTTATTATTCTCCCCATCTGCAATAGGTGTAGATAGGTTTGCCTAGAGTCTGGTTCATACCCCTTTGTTGTCATGTTTCCTGTTTAGGATTGGGTTTCCAGTTTACTTCTAAAGTTTTCTCATTCTCTTTCACTCTCAGGAAGCTCCTTTGCATTTTAGTAGCATTATCGCCTTGCTTGGGGTGAAATGAAAAAACAAAAAATAAATTTCTACAATCAATAATGATAGACTTTAATGATTTCAGAAGCAAATATCTTCTTCAAATGTTAGATTGTTAATTATCATTTCATATAACAATAAAAAAAAAAAAAAATAGAAAAATGTTTCTCTTGTTGAAATTAATGAACAATTGTATAATCATTGATATCAAACTTTGAACTGCATAAGGTCTGGAGTTATATGATATACACAATCCTTAATTATTATTAATTTTTTTAACCAACAATGAAAAATGACACATTTTTACATGGTAAATTTTATTGCTATCCTTTGCTCAACATTTAATATCAATTAGATAAAAAGGATTTAAGATTTTTAAGTATTTACTATAGAAAAAAGTCAATGAGAAAGTGAAGATGGAATTAGTTTGATTTTCAGGAATGAATACAGGTTTTGTAGAAATAGCAGCCAATTACTATTAGTTTAAAATAATTTTTTGTCAATATTTATGGTATGAGGTATTTTAATTATTTGAACTGTTGTCCTCATCTTCATTGCTATATTCATGATGTTTTGGCTATTGTACACTCTGGCCTTCTTTAAGTGATTGGAATTTCAAACTGAATCCTTTATTTTGTTCACCAGGGTAGATTGTTCTAGTTTTACGTGCCATGCCTTTTCCGGATGTCTCAGTATCTTTAACTCAACTCTCCAAGTTTTTCTTCCCCTCTGCTGTAACCAGATATTGAACTCACAACTCTTTGGGTCAAATCACTAGTTTGAAGTAACTTTTTATTCACTGGGCCAATCTACCCCAGTGGACGAAATAAAGGGTTCGATTCGAAATTCCGATCACCGGAAGAAAGCCGTAGCATACAACGGCCGAAACGTCGTGAATATGGAAACGAATAAGAGTCTGAACAATGTAAATTGTGTAAATGTTTTGTTTGGTTGTTTTTTTTTTTTGTATCTTTTTCTGAAAAAAAAAAAAAAATTAATAATAATAATAATAATAATATATTCGTGATTGACATTATTCGGTGATTTATTTTATTTTATTGTATGGACGGACAAGACTCTTTTGAGAGATATAGAGATAGATGTGCAATAGCTGTGATTAAGACAATATTAAGATGGAAAGAATTATATTAAAAAAAAAAATGAAATAAAATAAACAGGAGGGAGGAGCAAATTAAAAAGAGGATGAACAATTGCTGTTTTTGTCTTTATTCTTTGGGATGATATCTTCATCTGGAGCCAAAGATGACATGTCATCTCGCACCTGCAAGGAAAAAAATCATAAGTAATGAACAGTAAGAGTTTTTTTTTTTTTTTTTATGTCTATGTAAACATCTAAAACATTTAACAAATGAATCTTACCCTGCTTCGAACGTGCGACGTGATGGTAAGCAAGCAAGTAAGTTGGGGATCAACTAAATAAGCGTTCTGTTGCTTCAACAGCATGATAAAACCATTTGCAATTAAGAGTTCACTTGATTCCAGATATGTCCCGGAAAAAGCGCAAATAACCATAGCGACATAGACGGATAATATAATCGTAAATAAAGCAGAAGTCATATTTAAGCAAAAAAAATCAAAAAAAAATCAACAGCACGCTCACCACCTCCACTACGCCAGATCTTTCCTCAGATTCTTCTGATTCCGGCCCACGCCTTCCGGAAGCACCAGACTCTTCGTGATTCCGACCCACACTCCCGGGAGAAATTCGAATCTTCAACACAGTAAATTGCCCGCAGGAGAGATTCGAACCAACCACACAGTAGATGAGAGCATCGGCTTACAGAAAGTACTATATCGTTAACCTCTCCTCCACGAAGGCCCCTCTACCGAGTAGTGCGATTTATAAAGTTAAATAATAAACTGGTGACAATTTGGGTTAAAGAGGTCAAAATTACAAAGCATGTACATCACACAGGATAATTGCAGTAGAACGCATGCACGATTCGAACTCTCCCCAACAAAGAAGATTAGAGCATCGGCTTACAGAAAGTACAACATCGTTAACCTCTCCCCCACGAATGCCCCTTTACCGGATAGTGCGATTTATAAAGTTAAATAAAATAAACTGAAGAGGTCAAAATTACAAATGATGGACATAATTTGTAGAATATGGGTCCCAACAAAGAAGATTAGGCATCAAAATTACAAAGGATGGACATAACACGTTGAAGAGGTCAAAATTACAAATGATAATGGTAGTAGAACATGTTAACCTCTCCCCACGAATGCCCCTTTACCGGATTCGATTTATAAAGTTAAATAATACCCTCCCCAACACAGATGGGTTGAAAGCATCAAAATTACAAATGATGGACATCACACAGAAAGTAGAACATCGTTAACCCTCTCCTCCACGAAGGCCTCTCCACGAATGAGTAGTACGATTTATAAAGTTAAATAATAAACTGGTGATAATTTGCAATTTGGGTTGAAGAGGTCAAATTTACAAAGGATGGACATCACACATGATAATTGGTAGTAGAACGCATGCACGATTCGAACCTCCCCAACACAGGAGATGAGAGAATCGGCTTACATAAAGTACTACATCGTTAACCTCTCCTCCACGAATGCCCCTCTACGAGTTGTGCGATTTATAAAAGTTAAATAATAAACTGGTGACAATTTGGGTTGAAGAGGTCAAAATTACAAAGCTTGGACATCACACATGATAATTGCAATAGAACGCATGAACGATTCGAACCCTCCCCAACACAGCAAATGAGAGCATCGGCGTAAAAGTCAAAAGTCACAGGATAACATCGCCAACCTCTCCTCCACGAAGGCCCCTCTACGGAGTAGTGCGATTTATAAAGTTAAATAATAAACTGGTGATAATTTGCAATATGGGTTGAAGAGGTCAAAATTACAAAGCTTGGACATCACACAGAATGATAACCTCTCTCCACGAAGGCCAATAGAACGCAGGAACGATTCGAACCCTCCCCAACACAGAAGATGAGAGCATCGGATTACAGAAAATCAGCTTACAAACTGCATCGTTAACCTCTCCTCTACGAATACCCTCTCCTCCAAGAGGCCCTCTACGAGTTGTGCGATTTATAAAGTTAAATAATAAACTGGTGGGGATTTGCAATTTGGGTTGAAGAGGTCAAAATTACATAGCTTGGACATCACACATGATAATTGAAGTAGAACGCAAGCACGATTCGAACCCTCCCCAACACAGAATATGAAAGCACCGGCTTACAGAAAGTACTGCATCGTTAACCTCGCCTCCACGAATGCCCCTCTACCGAGTGGTGCGATTTATAAAGTTAAATAATAAACTGGTGATGATTTGCAATTTGGGTTGAAGAGGTCAAAATTACAAAGCTCGGACATCACACAAGATAATTGCAGTAGAACGGTTGCACGATTCGAACCCTCCCCAACACAGAAGAAGAAAGCATCGGCTTACAGAAAGTACAACATCATTAACCACTACTCCACGAAGGCGCCTCTACCGAGTAGTGCGATTTATAAAGTTAAATAATAAACTGGTGACAATTTGGGTTAAAGAGGTCAAAATTACAAAGCATGGACATCACACAGGATAATTGCAGTAGAACGCATGCACGATTCGAACTCTCCCCAACAAAGAAGATTAGAGCATCGGCTTACAGAAAGTACAACATCGTTAACCTCTCCCCCACGAATGCCCCTTTACCGGATAGTGCGATTTATAAAGTTAAATAATAAACTGGTGATAATTTGCAATATGGGTTGAAGAGGTCAAAATTACAAAGGATGGACATCACACATGATAATGGTAGTAGAACGCATGCACGATTCGAACCCTCCCCAACACAGAATATGAAAGCATCGGCGTACAGAAAGTACTACATCGTTAACCTCTCCTCCACGAAGGCCTCTCTACCGAGTAGTACGATTTATAAAGTTAAATAATAAACTGGTGATAATTTGCAATTTGGGTTGAAGAGGTCAAATTTACAAAGCTTGGACATCACACATGATAATTGCAGTAGAACGCATGCACGATTCGAACCCTCCCCAACACAGAAGATGAGAGCATCGGCTTACATAAAGTACTACATCGTTAACCTCTCCTCCACGAAGGCCCCTCTACCGAGTTGTGCGATTTATAAAGTTAAATAATAAACTGGTGACAATTTGGGTTGAAGAGGTCAAAATTACAAAGCTTGGACATCACACATGATAATTGCAATAGAACGCATGAACGATTCGAACCCTCCCCAACACGGCAAATGAGAGCATCGGCGTACAGAAAGTACTACATCGCCAACCTCTCCTCCACGAAGGCCCCTCTACAGTGTAGTGCGATTTATAAAGTTAAATTTTAAACTGGTGATAATTTGCAATTTGGGTTGAAGAGGTGAAGATTACAAAGCTTGGACATCACACATGATAATTGCAGGAGAACGCAGGAACGAATCGAACCCTCCCCGACACAGAAGATGAGAGAAACGGCTTACAGAAAATACTACATCGTTAACCTCTCCTCCACGAAGGCCCCTCTACCGAGCAGTGCTATTTATAAAGTTAAATAATAAACTGGTGATAATTTGCAATTTGGGTTGAAGAGGTCAAAATTACAAAGCGTGGACATCACACATGATAATTGCAGTAGAACGCAGGCATGATTCGAACTCTCTCCAACACAGAAGCTGAGAGCACCGGCTTACAGAAAGTACTACATCGTTAACCTCTCCTCCACGAAGGCTTCTCTATCGAGAAGTGCGATTTATAAAGTTAAATAATAAACTGGTGATAATTTGCAATTTGGGTTGAAGAGGTCAAATTTACAAAGCTTGGACATCACACATGATAATTGCAGTAGAAAGCATGCACGATTCGAACCCTCCCCAACACAGAAGATGATGAGCATCCACGATTCATCGAACCCCCTCCCAACACAGAAGATGATAAAGCATCCACGGTGATAATTTGCACCTCCCAACACAGAAGATGATGAGCATCCACGATTCGAACCTCCCCAACACAGAAGATGATGAGCATCCACGATTCGAACCCTCCCCAACACAGAAGATGATGAGCATCCACGATTCGAACCCTCCCCAACACAGAAGATGATGAGCATCCACGATTTGCACCCTCCCCAACACAGAAGATGATGAGCATCCACGATTCGAACCCTCCCCAACACAGAAGATGATGAGCATCCACGATTCGAACCCTCCCCAACACAGAAGATGAGAGCATCGGCTTACAGAAAGTACTACATCGTTAACCTCTCCTCCACGAAGGCCCCTCTACCGAGTAGTGAGTTTTATAAAGTTAAATAATAAACTGGTGATAATTTGCAATTTGGGTTGAAGAGGTCAAAATCACAAATCTTGGACATCACACATGATAATTGCAGTAGAACGCATGCACGATTCGAACCCTCGCCAACACAGAAGATGACAGCATCGGCTTACAAAAAATACTACATCGTTAACCTCTTCTCCACGAAGGCCCCTCTACCGAGTAGTGCGATTTATAAAGTTAAATAATAAACTGGTGATAATTCGCAATTTGGGATGAAGAGGTCAAAATTACAAAGCTTGGACATCACGCAGGAAGATAGCAGTAAATCGCAAGCGGGACGCATTTGAACTCCCAACACATTAGATCAACGTGTCTGCTTATAGAGAGTAGCAACATCGTTAACCTTTACTCCACGAAGTCCCCTCTAACGAGTAGAGCGATTCATAGTTAAATAATAAACCGGCGATACTTTGTAATTCCTGTTGAAGACATCTAAAATGAAAAGCTTGAGCATGGCACGGCAAGATAGCGCAATGGATATAAACGTCGGATTTCTGTTGGCGGTTGCTTTGAATTAAGAGTTCAATCGACAGTTTAGGTTATTATTTAAAAAATATATCGGTTCTCCGATTGAAGGATGTGATTGACTTCGTGGTTAGCTTGATGTAGTTTAATAGTGTCGTGAGAAAGGGAAAGGAATTCTCAGGATAACGGACAAAAAATATGGTGTAAATGTTTTGATAATTTTGTTGTGCCCGTCGAAGAAACTTGTTGCCTTATTTTTATGATACGTGATTCTTTTTTTTCCTTTCAAGGGCACGTTTAATACTTTCCAAATTAAACCACATTTACTTTTATACGCAGGAAGATTTTGTTGTGTCGGGAAGGCCTTACTAGTACATTTTTTTTTTATTAGCTAGTTTTCGTATTGTTGAATTTTCCAGTGAACTCTTGAATATAAATTCTCATTGCTTGACTAAGCAATTGAACTTAAGACTAGATAAATTGCATGCACTTAACCAACGTTTATGAGGGTGTGCTGAAATGTTCTCTATCCAATCCACTTGCCCAAATCTGACGAAACATCAGGATTTGGTTGAGACGAGCTTCTTGGTCAGGTCGAGATCTTTCCAGCATCGTTTGTACATTCGTTAGATAATTGTCCCATTAGACAATCATGTTCCCCCAATACAAAGCAGAAGAATCACTCAAGGTAGTGTTATATATGAGCGTAAGAAAAAACAGGTGAAGTTCATGGGTTTATGCAGGAAAGTTAACGGTTAACCCTAGACTTGAAGAGCTCAAGATTGTAGTGATTGGAAATTTAAACCCTAATGTTTATTCTTGGGCGATCAAAAATCTTCTCCTGGTGGTTCAAGTCTTTACTTCGACTAAGTGGTTGAATACCATACAGGTGTCGGTTTTTTTCAGTCGATTGATTCGTTTACTACGCCTTATCAACCATTTGCAGGTTATTCAAAGCCCCAAATCATTTTAGCTTATTTTTTTATGGTAATGGTGTAGTGATAAACGTCTTACTAATTAACCCATAGATGGGAGTGAAGAGGGGGATTTATATCTTTTCCAAAGGTATTTGCACGTAAGTGAATACAATGAGCCCAGCTGGAATTGGAACTCGGCTCTTCGATTAACAATTCCAAGCCATTATCCATTACACCAGCTACACATCCAAGCTTACATCACCTGGTATTCCCAAGCAGTCACCCATCTCGGTAATGACCAGGCTCGACGTTACTTAACTTCGGTGATTTTACGGAAACTGGCGTTTCAACGTTATGTGGCTCTAAGTCCTTGATCAGTTAAGAACAGGCATTAGATTTCTTTTTAAAGCGCCCAAATTCCATCACCTGAAGGTGAAAGGTTCATTTTCGCCCGGGCAGTGAAATTCATTTGAGTAGAATGAGCAGAAACTGAAGCACAAAGACACATTGCCAAAAGATGAAAAGAATTGTTCTCCTCCACCCCCGGGCATAGACAGCATACTGAGTACAGTCTCCCCTTCGTCGACTGAAGAAGGCGTGGGGAGGGTACTCGAAATTTCGGAAATAACACCGGAGGGTGCTATGCCCGGAACGCTGTAAGTGTAGCAAACAAAATGAAAACAATAATTTAAATAATCAAGTTAACGTGATAATCAAGTTTAGTCTGGCTCAAGGTCACATGAATAGGAGAAACCGCGTGAGAAATGGACTTACGACATTAACGGTTTCGCTTGCTTCTCACTTCATGACCAGAGGCATTTTTGTTGAATTATCGGTTTTTTTTTTCAGTTCATCGATATTCATCTCTTAATAATCAGACTATAAAGCTGGCAACTTTAAATAAAGGCTAATCTCTTTGAATTTATAGAAATTTCATTCACTTGAGATTATTATAGACCAAGAATGTAAGCTACTCAAATACGGTGTTATGGTTCACCATCGGCTAAATAGGGATCTTACTCTAATGGTATTTCTGTCAAATTTCTTATAAACATAATGTCTGTTTTCCTTATTAAAATGGACCACTGTTAAAAAAACAATCATCTCAATGTAGCATTAGTATATTCGCCATATAGCAAAACGTATGTACATTGGGTGGAAACAGACAAGGATATGAGTATATAACATCTGATAGAAAACACTTCAGCTATATCTTTGCATGAATTAGAATTCGACAATAGTTTATTCATTAATCGAACTGAATATATATTAAAAAACAAAAACAGAGAAGAAATGTAAAACGAAGCCTTACTAGTGAGTTGATTTGGTTGTACACTGCGTCAGCGATGTAGCTCGGCCATGAAAAGCCAAGTGAAAAAGGAAGCACGTCAAAGATGTGTAGTCATTTTGATAATTTGGAACCAACTGGCAGGGCTACTTACCTTTCGTGCCTCACGCCATATGACACATTTCTTTCCTTTTGATATAAATTATTGCTTGAATTAAGTCCAGATAATTCCAACTTGTGACACTAGATCTTTGATCAAAGTCTTCTAATATTGTTTTCAATACATTTGTTCATTCTGTATGATCGATCATCACTCAATAATTGATATGCTTCGGCGTCAGACTAAAAATGCGACAGCTTATTCCATGACCTATCTAAAAAATGATTAAAATATCCCCTGGATATATATGCGGGGTTGGGATATTTCAGAGGCTAATGTTTACCCACACACTGCACACTACCAGTACTTGTACCCAGTCTAACTCAATAATACTTTAATATTCAATTCAAATAGAGAGTCTTACCTGCGAAAATAAAGTATCTAGTAGGTTAATACTGACCCCAGACACCATAGGCAGAGTAAGTGTGGCATGGCCCCATACACACACTCTACCACATCTCAATTTTCATAAGGTACTATTCATATAAAATAGAAATTTTGTTGTAACCTAATTATGTACAATAATGGATCATCATACTTATTATAAAACCCAGGTTGTGTGTGTGTGTGTGTGTGTGTGTGTGTGTGTGTGTGTACTGTACGTTTATATATTGGATCGGTTTTCCTAAATTTTCAACCAATTTCAACAAAACTTCACAGGACTACGTTAAATTACTTTGCGGTGGTTCTGACAGCGCCAAAAACTGGAAAAACACAATTGTTTTTGCACGAAATCAATATACTTATTATAAAACCCAGATTCTTTGTGTGTGTGTGTGTGTGTGTGTTCGTTTATATATGGGATCGGATTTCCTACATTTTTCAACTGATTTCAACAAAAACTTCACTTTTTTTTGGAGGGTAGTGTTTCTTATTGTCTTGCACACTTTTTTCTTTATTTTTACATTCAGAATGCTTTAAAAATTCCATTTACAAGACAATTGTTTATAACATTCTATTCAATCGGTAGACTCATAATTAAGACATGCGTGTCCGTCAACCTTAAACAATAATCTTTGTCAATTTTATTTTTCAGTCTTTATGATGGTCGATATTTGATCTATCTCTTACTGTAACATCCCCGTGCAACGCCGGGCTCTACTGCTAGCATGCAATAAAGGTGAACAATTCAACTAGAAAAATTGGAAATAAATACAATGTATCTAAATACAAATTAGAGACATGTCATAACAGATCATTCCATCTTCAATAAATCAACAATGTTTTGCATCAATTTTTAACATCAATTTGAGATTTTTCATGTTAAAAAGTTGGATAATTTTAACACATTTAATATTATAGATAAAAAATAGTGAATTTTATATCATGTTTTTTCTAAATTTAGCATGAGCAAAACAAATTCATAAATGTGGACAAAAAAGGCCCCAGAATGACATCAAAATCCACAAAAAAATGTCATTTTTTAATAGTCAGTTGTGCTTAATTTAATTTGTAATGTATATAAATGTTAATCGTTAATGGCTAGTGACTCGTATTCGAGGATACCCGTCTAATAGGGCGGTTATCAAATCCCTATTGCAGACGCTTGCTCAGGTACATTTGTGTTTTTTCAACACCCACAGAGTTCACCTGTGGTTTATACTGCGATTATGCTGAGCAGACCTTAGTTACAGTTTCTGGGAGAGAAGCGTATTTTCTAGCGTGATCAACAATGTGAAGAAGGCCAGCAAGGCTCAAACCCTTGGTCACGATGACTTGGGACTTCGTGCTAGCACAGCCATCAACGGCCCTACCCAATTTCACTCAAAAGGCTAAGGGTCAACCCGAGCTATGGTTTTCAGGCACTATTCAAAAGGTGCCGCACGCTGGAATCCTTCAGAAAAAAAAAATCGACCATGGTGAGATTCGAACCCTGGTCTCATGGTCAGAAAGCGAACGTTCTAACCACACGCCCACGTGCATATAAATGCAGGTAGAGAAAAAAATCAAATGTTGATAAGATAGCGTGGGTCACAAAGGACTGCCTGGGGACCCCAATCAGGCTCGTCCCACCATTCGGGGTGGGGAGTAGTACGCATCGGTCCTGACCTTGGAATACCACTACTTGTACATGCGTTAACTTCATAATTTAACATTAAATTTAAATGTTTGTAAGGGTGGGGATCTTTTATGCTACCAAATATGGCATCTATAAAGAACGTCTGCTATGAAGGGATCATTAGTGAAATTGTTTCGTGGATCTTTGCCAGTGCAGAGGGTGTCTGATCTTCATTCTTCATCTCGATAATTATGAATTCCTGACAAACTATAATAACACTAGCAATTATCTATAAGAAAAAAAAATAATGCCATCTTCCTTCAGTATGTAAGCGGTCAAGGCTCTTCTTTAATATATAAAAAATATATTTAGTGATAACTACATTCGGAAAAATAGCGGAGTGAGTGTTTTCTCGTTGTCTGCTTCACGAATTTGAAAGAAGAGTTGACCTCCTTAATTGGTTGCCTTACCAATGCTAGATATCTAAATCTACCCTACTATTTACTCAGTGAGGAGAACAGATGTATTCGTGCTTTTCCACGAGCACTAGCGCGTCGTAAATTAAACAGATTCGACTAGAATTAGAACCACGACCTTCAAAATTCATTCTCCCCGTCGATAGCCTTTATATCACCTGAAACGGTCATCGGTTATCTGCAAGATCATCGTCCTTTCAATTTCCCATTATGAATTTGAGGTTAGAAATGAAACTATACTAGCCAATCCATGTTGCAGACTTGTGTTTGTTCAACACTCACTGAGCTCACCTGTGGTTTATACTGCTGCTATATTGAGTGGACCTTAGTTTCAGTTTCTGGCAGATAACGCATCATCTGGCATGAACATCAATTTCAACAAGGACAGCACGCTCAAAGCCTCAGTCACGATGACTTATGACTCCTTGTTCGCACAACCGTCGACGGGTCCCAATTTCATTGACAATGCTTGGGTCAACCCTTGGTATGGTTTTAAGGCACTTTCCAAAGGTGCCACACGCTGGGATTGCCCCAGACCAATAACATCAAGAAATCACCTTGCTGGTGAGATTCGAACCTGGATCTCATGGTCAGAAGGCGAACGTTCTAGCCACCCGGACACAAATAAAATATACATTGTGAATCTCAGCTTATTTTTATAGAAATACTTGCAATAACTTATTTCGTGACATGAGATTTTAATATACAACTTGTATCGTGTAATTCTAGCAATGAGAAATTGGAGATCAGAGTTCGAATTCAAGTCGGGTTCGTTAATTTCACTTACGCGCAAATACTGTTCTCCCCACCCCAGCTATGGGCAAATAGTAGAACAGATTGAGTCTTATATATTTGCTTGGCAAGCAGTCTAGGAGAAGGAAAACTCTGAATTCAAACCAGCCTGGAGAGGGTTGGGCAATCTCTATCTATAAAAGGCAGGATGTGTGTGTGTGTGTGTGTGTGTGTGTGTGTGTAACGAATGCACGGCCGCAATTTTCGACGGATTATACCAAAATATACATGCACATGCTCCAAGTTAGCGGGAAGGCCAAGGACGACTTTGCATTTCCCAACTCCCATCGATAGTGGAAATAATCGATTTTTTCATGCTTCTACGGCAGTTTTCATGTAATTTGCAGCCATTTTCTACTGGTCAGAGTGAGAGCCAATAGCTGGCTGCCACGAATAGGGAGGAAGATTCTATTGGCCAGCGTGAGAGCCAACAGCTGACTGACACGAATGTTAACTAGCATGCTAGCATGCAAAAAAATCAATAGCTGCATTCGTCACAAGTGGGAAAAATTTAAATCTGCATGGCACTTTACTCCAATTGGCTCATTCGTTTGTTTAAACTGAACGTTGATTCTGATTCCGCAGAACTGGGTTGGGTGTGAAAAGTATTTGTTGTTAACATTCTTTTTTCATTCGA